AGTCAAGGGTTAAGATCCCCTTACCGGTCATCTTTAAAACCAACCAAACAAACAAAACGTTCAATGTGGTTTTATTGACTTCCGAATCAAGATAGAGTAAATGGGACTGATTTACCCTCCTATTTAAAACTACCAAAAAAGCAGACAAAGTATAATGAAACATGGTTTTCAAGATACTGGACATCAGGCAACTAAGGGCAGTGATCTCCGAAAGACAGGAAACTAATGGCATAGACTCCATAATTGCCCAGGTGCTGGCTTGAGAGAATGTACAAGACTAGGTGCAGAGAGGGGAACTGAGGCAGAGCCCAGCAAACTCTTGCAGTTAAGGGAAAAGAGCTGAGACTCTGGGGGCAATATGCCACACAGAGTTCTGGAGTTCAAAGGACAGATTAGCAAAGAGGAGAGAGAAGCTTAGAGAGAGGACCCTGGGGGTCTGCAGGAGGCCCCACAAGTGTTCAGCAGAGCACAGGTCAGCAGCACACACGTGTGAGGAAATAGTTAGAGGGATTAGGGCTTGGGGCTCACATAGGACTAAGAGTGGTGTTGTTTCTCCATCATCCAGGCTGAAAAGACTAAGAAGTCACAGGAAACTTGGTAGGGTTTTCAGAAGGGTCTTGCATCAGTAATGGGAGAATAACTGGTCTTAGATGGAGCTCTCCTCTACACCTAACAAATCATAAAAGCAAGATCTGAAAGGATTATACTGTCTCCAACCATCTCAACTGTACCCCAGAACAAAGCTCAAGAATATTTATAGGAATACGAAAATACCCAGTGCCCAACTAGGTAAAATTTACCGTGTCTGGCATCCAATAAAAGATTACCAGGCATGCAAGGAATGCAGGAGAGTATTGCCCATAATGAGAAAAATCAATTGATTGAAACTGACACAGATATTAGAATCAGCAATAAAGAACATTTAAAAAGTTATTATTGGGCCAAGCCCATGGCGCACTTGGGAGAGTGCGGCGCTGGGAGTGCAGCGACACTCCCGTCGCGGGTTCGGATCCTATATAGGGATGACCGGTGCACTCACAGCGCTCACTGGCTGAGCACGGTGCGGCCGATCTCAAAAACGACAAAAAATAAAATAAATAAATAAAATAAAATAAAAAGTTATTATTACAACAGAATTCCATGTGTTCAAAAGAAAGAAGAGGCATAGAAGATACAAAAAAGAACAAAGTTGAACTTACAGAGATTAACATTACAGTGTGTGAAGTGAAGACTACACTGGGTGTGATCCACAACAGACTGGAATTGTAGAAGAAAAGATTTGTGAACTTGAAGATACAGCTACAAAAACCACCCAAAATGAAACACTGAGAGAAAAAAGAATAAAAAAAAAAAAAAAGGAAGGCAAAAAAATAAAGGAAGGAAGAGAGAAGGAAGGAAAGGAATCAGTGAATAATGGGACAACTTCAAGTAGCCTAATATGAGGGGTCTTCAAAAAGTTCATGGAAAGGTTCACATTATCTTTTAATTTCACTTTTTTTTTTGTCTTTTTCGTGACGGGTAAGGGGATCGCAACCCTTGGTGTGGTGTCGCCCACACCACGCTCAGCCAGTGAGCACACCGGCCATTCCTATGTAGGATCCGAACCCGCGGCGGGAGTGTCGCTGCGCTACCAGCACTGCACTCTCTTGAGTGCGCCATGGGCTCGGCCCTAATTTCACTTTTTTACAAACTTTTAAAAGTACCCTCATATGTGGGTAACAGATAGGAGAGGCTATGACAGAAAAATTGTTGGAAGAAACAATGGCTGAAAAATTTCCACGCGACACTGAGGGTTGCGATCCGTTGCCAGTCACGAAAAAAGACAAAAAAAAAAAAAAAATTTCCAAATTTGATGAAAACTGTAAACCTACAGATGCAAGAAGCTCAGTGAACCCTGAACAAGAAACACAAAGCAAACAAAACCACGTCACATCTTAATCAAATAGCTCAAACCAGTAATAAGGAGAAAACCTTAAAAGCAGCCAGGGAAAAGACATGTTTGTATGGAGAAATAAAGATAAGGATGACAGCAGATTCCTTGTCAGAAACAATGTAAACAAGAAGACAGTGGAGCTACATCTCTAAAGTACTGAAAGATAAACTAGAATTGTATATCTGGGAAACATATCTACCAAAATGAAAGTAAAGTCAAGATATTTCCAGACATACAGAAGCTAAAAGAGTTTACCAACAGCAAATCTGTACTACAAAAAATGTTAAAGATTAAGTCCTTCAGGCAGAAGGAAAGTGAACCAGATGGAAATCTGGGTCTACAGGAAGGAATGAGAAAAACCAGAAATGGTCATTATGTGGGTAAATAGATGATATTTTTTTCTCTTTATTAAATACTTGTTCAAAGATAACTGGTCATTTATACAAAAATAACAACAATGTGTTATGAAGTTTATTACATATATGAATGTAAAATGTGTGAAAACAATATATAAACATTGGGAGTGGAGAAAAGCAGTATACTATTGCAAAGTCCTTATATTATACATGAAGTAGTATGGTATTGCCTGAAAGTAACTAAGTTAAATATATGTATTATACACTTTTTTTTTTTTTTACTGACCGGTAACAGGATCACAACCCTCGGTGTCGTGCCTGTACCGGGGACCGGCAACGGAATCGCAACCCTCGGTGTTGCGCCTGCACCACGCTCAGCCAGTGAGCAGGAACCGGTCTCCACATGGGATCTGAACCCTTGGCGGGAGCGCCGCCGCGCTCCCAAGCAGCGCACTCTCCAGTGCGCCACCGGGCCAGCCCATATGTATTATACACTTTAAGTCAACTCTTCAAATAACAAAACAAAGAATTATAATTAATAAGCCAACAGAGAAGATAAAATCACAAAAAGTAATCAATCCAAAAAAGATAAAAATAGAGTGTAAAGGGAAAAAACATCTGGGCAAAAAAAAGAAAAAAAGTAAAATGGTATGTTTGAACCTGCTATGTCAATAATCACGTTCAAGGTGAATGGTATAAATGCTTCAGGTAAAAGGTAGAGATTGTTAGGTTGAAGATAAAAGACCCAACAATGTGTTGCCTACAAAAAGCACAACTTAAATATACACAGATAGGTTAAAAGTAAAAGGGTGGATAAAGACACACCATGTTACACTAGTCA